CAAACGCTCTCCCTACCTCCCCGCCCCTACATGGTTTTAGTGAGCTGTGTTCACTCTAAATTTTTACAAGCAGAGAAAACGATTATAAACGTAGGGGGGGGAGGAGGGGGGAGGGAAGGAAGGGGGGAGTTATGGTCCTTAACGAGCTACTTATAGTGTTTTAAAGAAATATTTTCAGTGTCAGCGTTGGTACTGTCGAATTCACAAATTATGAATTACTGAAAAGTAGAAAATAAAACAACTAAATAGCGGCGTATGATACGCTGCGGGTCGGCTCGTTATTTATTATTATTCTATCTTTCGGTTTGCGGACAAGCTGGGGGGTTTTATAGGAGAGGCGTAGCGAGGGGGCATATGTCCCCGGGTGCCGACCTTAGGGGGCGCCAAAGTGGGTTGGACAAAATTTGCGAGGGGGGGGGGGGTGGTGGTGGAAATCGAAAGTTTGAGGGGTTGCAAATCAAAAGTTTGAGCGGGGGAAATTTCAAATCAAAAGTGGTGCAAATTGAAAGTTTAAGGGGATGGGGTGGAAATTGAAATTTTGAGGGGGGAGGGGGGGGGTCAAATAGAAAGTTTGCCCCCGGGCGCCGGAAAGGGTCGCTACGCCTCTGTTTTATAGTCATTCACTGTGTCAGACGCGCTCGGAAAGGGCGCGATTTGGCGCTACGGGCTAGACTGTGAGCAATATGCCTTTATGATTGCATTTAAATTGCGTTTATGTTATGAGTGTTGGGTTTTTTTTTGCGTTCGTTTGTTTTGTGTTTAGTTTTGTTCTGTTCCCAAGTTGGTACATTTAAAAAAGATTTACCGTGGCGGAGCACGGGATGCAGCTAGTATATATAATATATATATATATATATATATATATATATATATATATATATATATACAGAGTACATATATTTAACCACGCATTTTTCATTATGTATATATAGAAATGGGTTTTCTTCAATACGCAAGTCTTAATATGTCCTCATGTTTTCCTTCTCTTAGCCCAAGACACAAGTTGCCGCCACAGAAACATCCCTCCACTATTGTAGGTAATTTCCAGACAGTCCTCCATGACAGTCCTTCCTGTGCCAGATGCTTCCCTGCTGTACCCCTAATAGTCTCCCTTGGCCTTCCTTACAGTCTTTTCCTTGAGGCGTACAGTTTATCGGCATCCCTGCGATTTTCTTATATGTGCCTACATAAAACGTTCAAGATATGTTACAACTTACCCGTATGTGCTCTGTAAATTCCGCTCCAGAACTTTATTTTCCCAAAAAGTGTTCTCACAAACTCTAGCTCTTCATTCGACTGTGACTCCCAAATCACCATCTCGTGTATCTTGCAATATTTCACCGCAAAATGCCAGCGGCAGTTGAGTTCTGATGGCACCAAGAAGCAACGGTCTCTATACGTAATTAGGTGACCAGGGCACTTATGATGCGAGTGGTGAGGATGGTGATACTGGTCTGTTTGATAAAGAAGAGTTAATCTGTTTTAATAACCTCAATAAACACGGGGGGGGGGGGGGGTGGATAGTGTGGGCAGAAGTATACACAGCCGTTCTACCACTCTAATACCTAATCCCTTAATGTAATATATGTTTGATTATTATCCAAATAAAACCAATGTATCATTAGTATATATATATATATATATATATATATATATATATATATATATATATATATATATATATATATATATATATATATATATAAATATATATATATATATATATACATATATATATATATATATATATATATATATATATATATATATATATATATATATATATATATATATATATATATATATATATATATATATATATATATATATATATATATATATATATATATATATATATATATATATATATACATTTTATATATATATATATACATTATATATATATATATATATATATATATATATATATATATATATATATATATATATATTATTTAAATTAAATTATATATCTAAACATGCATCAAATATAAAATCTATGCCGCTGATTTATAAGCACATTCTACCCACCTGGTCTGTTGCTAGTAGAAAGACGAGTCAATACAAAAATGCAGATAAGTTTTAACACTGTGTGAGTTGCCATCTTGATGGTTATCTCTCTTGTGACGCAGCCCTATGTAAGTCTCACATTTAAGCCACACAGCTCGTAGCAACTCTATCCTAGTTTAATGTGCTTGACATCACCGGACCCAGTGTCTGGGTCAAGTTGTGATTGGCTGACTATACCAGTCGCTTCCCTTGTTACCCTGGTTACTCTGTACAACAACATACAAATCAGCTAACCGGGAGTCAACCCCGCTTACCATACAATAGTATATGTACACACTTAACACACACACACAGACACACACAAACACACAGACACACAAACACACAGACAGACACAAACACACAGACAGACACAAACACACACACAGACACACACAAACACAGACACACACAAACACAGAGACACACACAGACACAGAAACAAACAGAGAAGTGTAGAGTGTCCTTAAAATGATTACGATGATATCGATGTGGAACCAACTAAACATATTTGATTTGAATAGCGCTCGTATTGTCATGAACAAAACTGTTATTTTTCTTGCGTTAACATTTTTTAATTTAGTTGTTTGTTTTAAAGAAATTGTTTTTGCTATTTTATAAAAGAAATAGTATTATAAGACATAGATATACGCCGCTAAATCCTAATATATAAAAGACCATGTGCGCACTTCTTTCTCTCTGTCCGCAAATTTTTTTCACAGGCTATGAGATCAGTATCTTATGCGATATATGGAGAAGTTGATACGGACTTGTGACAAATTTCGGGTGTTTTACGCATAATTTAGTCGGAAAAACTGAGCCTTGCAATGATGTCCGTGTGTTTGTGTGTGTTTGTGTTTTTGTCTGTGTGTATCTGTGTGTGTGTGAGTGCCAGATTTTGTTCATGAAATCACCATGCGCTGAGTTATTTACACTTTATTTAAATTATGAAAACACAGGAAATGAAAACACATTTAAAGTAATAAATAACCAGTTTAAGTATAGGGCTGGTAAGTAGATCACCAACCAGTTCAACGGCTCAATAAAACCTGCATGAGCCATAGAACTGGGTGGTGACCTACTTACTAGCCCTATTGTTGTCACGAGGTTTCAAGGAGTCTAATAATGTGCGAGCCTTTCCGAACAACGTCCACTTCTGATAAATCAGGTTCAGTGTTATTGTTCCGTGACTAGAACGCGCGAAAGGCCTTTTTCACCCAGTGGGCCATTACCATTCCTTAGTAGAGAAATAATGTCAATTATTATAATGTAGATTACACAATAGCCCAATTGAGGCAATATTATAATTGTAACACAGCTACAAGTATATCGGCGTGTGAAAGACAACAATGATATTAAAGATAAAAATAAATGGTACTGAGTGGCCTTAGGGCGCTAGTAAAATGTATCTAGATCTGATGAATACTTAACTCACGTTAAAGAAAGTTAAAGCTACTGGGCATAGTACTGACCACATTATCCCTTCTTATTCCGAGATCACTGAAACAGATAACTCTACTTCATCTGTCACATGTGTCTTGGGCAAGAAAGTGAAAAAATGAGGATAAGATAAAAGGAAAGTAACTTCCCCAATTCAAACCTGACAATTAGTGGGACAAGAGAAGTAGAGTTCACCTGTTTCTGTGTTCTCGGTAGATAAAGGATAATATGTTAATCAGTATCCCTAGCTGCCTATACTTTCCCTAACTCAGTGACGTATTCCTAATTTAAACCCGGATTCGAACGTGAGACTTTAGGGTTATCAATCGTGATCTCTACCATCCGACGACTCCATAATCTTAAACTAAACATAAACTAAACATGTTACCAAACACTATAACTAGGTGTATAAATACACGAATGGTCTGGACAATCACAAAACTACTACGAAAATTTAGCGAGCTTGTCATCCGCGGCCAATTGGCAAGAACAGCAGGCTGAAACATACGCACATTGAGAACTTGAGTGGTTAGACACTCTGTAGTGGACGTCAACATGAAAATGAAGTGTTGTTTTATTGCCTATTGAACTATATTAACGCATACGCACGCACTTAAATAGTTATTATATCTGTTTTTATGTGTTATGAACTCTATGGAAGTATATCAACAATAAATTCAACGTTTTATTTCTTTGTTACAAGTTCAATGAAAACTCATAAAGCATGTCCATCAATTCGAGTGTAGCTATTTTCCTCTATATGTTTACCTGCTCAATACATGATCTTTAAAAATATTACAAGAAAACCCAGACAATAAAATGCACTATTTAATATGTAGTCCCGTGTCAGAGGCTTAAAATTACCAACACAAGTGGTAAATATTGCGTCTGGTTTTAATATGAAGCTCTTCATCTAAGTTTCGCACATATTGACTCAGTTCAACTCACTAGAATAGCGCAGCCAAACACCTAAGTGGATACTTCAATCCTCCTACCCTTAAAATATATTTAATTACTAGGCGTGGATGTGGTTTGTGTAGTCTTGTATTCCGCTCACTAAAGTAGTCATTTAGAGATGTTTAAGTGGTAGAGTTTTAATATACTATGTTGATCAATTTTTTATATACAAATGTACTCAAATTATCCATGTAGGCAAATAGAAATAGCCAACTTGAATTCCACAAGTTATCAATAAGCATTGTGCATTGATGGTGAAAGTAGAAGAAGCACCACCCAACATTGACCGCTAGATATAGTGCATACAGTTATTGATGAGTGTTAACCAACCTTAGGTCTACCTACTAAAAACTGGTAGTTTAACCATTTATGAAGAAGTAGAAACAGCCAAGCCCAAAATGTACCGCTCTGTCTATCTATATTTCCCAATTGTTACAAAGTTATATTTTTAAATATGTTTTCTTTTATTTTCATGGAAAATCGATAATTGTACTTAATACACGATCAAATAAATGTGTATTTATACGAGTTAGGCATAACTGTATACAACTTTAACTTCTAGACTAAGTTCTAGCGGGCATGTCGAATACCAGTCTAGAATATGGTTAATGCTCTGTGGCCTGTAGCATGTAAAACTGTTTCGTGCTTATCAATAACACGGATCAACTACAGATCAGTCATGCATATACGGGCAGTTGATGAGGTGATTAGTTGTGGTCATCGAATTCCGCTATATTATGTCCGAGGAGTACATCTCTTATATTATACTACTGCTTAAGCGATCCCAAACCAATTCACATACAATGATAATCAAACACACTGCATATAAATTGTAATCGCATATATAAATATATAATAATATGTTACTGTAACAGCAACAGTTACTTTGACGTGTAAGTAACAGGGGCGGAACTACCATACCGCCAGACCCCGCAATGCGGGGGGGCCCAGGACGTTTAGGGGCCCAGTTCCGACCAAAAAACAATGAATTTTTTTTTCAAAAATTATGTTTTTCATGCATCTTGAAAGTGGTTTTGTAAAAAAAAAAACAACAGGTCTACTATAGCAGAGATTGTTGCGTAGAAAAATATTTTAAAATCTACAAGAGCTATAGTTTGAAAAGTAGGTAAACATTCACACTACTTCCATGACTTACTGCCCTTCTTTAAAATAGGGATGCCCACGAAGCTCATTTAAATAGTTTTGTACTATCTATATTAAAAAGCTATTGATTCTCTGAATTGTTACTTAAATAAAACGTACTATACAATAGTATAGCTATAAAAATCAATGTTTTCAAAATTGATATTATCAAAGCCAAAAATGAAAAAAAAAAACATAACGCGATAAACCATTCGAGAATCAAACTAACGTCTTTATATAATTTTGACCAGCCTTTTCAATGTACTTTCACACTTACGATGAGTTTGGACTAAAATTTTTTCTGTTTGGTTTGTTAACGGTATTAAAAATAAGTGTAATAATATTGGTAGCGTACTAACTGGGATAATCAGTAAAATGCTGGTATTCAACCGGTAAGAGGGTCTGCGCCGCTTCTTTACCGGGAATATAGATTCTAGTATAGTTTTAATAGAGGTAATATCATTAAGGTCTGATGACTAAGGGTCAATTCAATGCCCAAAGTTTACAGCCTTATTAGAATAATAATTTCTTACCAGGTCCGATGACCTCTTGTCTCTAGCAAGGGTTTACGGCCGGTGAATAAAATAAAATATCAGGTCCGATGACTACGGGTCAACTCAATGCCCGCAGTTTACGGCCTGTAGTAAAATAGAATGAGGCTGTATATAATATAATATCTACTGCTCCGTGGCTGATACACGTGCAGGATAAAAGTAGTACAAAATGTAACTGAAATGTCTACTCAACTGCTAAGTGTAATTACATCACTGGCAGGAATAGTTTAGGTCAAATAAGTATTCAAATGCCCTGTGTGCTAAGACACGGACAGTGTAAAGTTTAGTTACGTAAATCAGGTAAGTTATCGACTGTCACATGGACTAAGCCACGAACAGGGTAACCGTGTACAGTAACAGTATGTATATGTAAGTAATAATGCATAACAGCAAGATAATATATATGATATTTATTGAACTATTTGTTACAATGGTAATCAAATATGTATATCAAAACTGGTAAAGTGAAAATAAGAAATAATTAAGTAAAACCAAACCCAAAACACGTGGAGGTCGGGCCGACGGTCCCAACGCCGCGTGCGACACCACCAGCTGAGCTCAGTGCTGGAAGAGTGCGTGATTTCTTTGTTGCATCCCCTTATATTCATTAAAACATTGGCGGTGTGTCACGTGGACAATCTAGCCAACTAGAGAGGAGCCTGTGAGGGGGACGAAAGATAGGAATGTACGTAGTTGTATAGAGGGGGGGGGGGAGAAGTATAGAGCAGGTAAGGGGTGGTGTAAGAATAACGTGGAGCTAGGCCTAAACGGTTTTACCGTCACATGGTTCTCTCAGAATGGTTATATATTGCAATGAAGTAGACCAGGGGTCTCCAAACTACGGCCCGCGCCGCGAGGTCCTCTCATCCGGCCCGCGGATATCTTTTTGACCACGGAAAAAACGTTAGATGGTGTTGGCTGAGGAACTTTGCCCAAAAAAATCAAAGACATGTCTGGAAGAAACTGGCCCCCGAACTGAAATTTGATAGTTAATGCGGCCCTCGGACTGAAAAGTTTGGAGACCCCTGAAGTAGACTAAATTATTCAGTTCAGGGGCGGAACTACAGTGCCGCCAGACCCCGCAATGCGGGGGGGGGGGATATATATGGGGCCCAAAAATATTTTTTTGCGGGGTGGCCCTTTTTTTCTAGTTCCGCCACTGGTAAGTAAGGCTAATAATTCATTTGTAGCTGAATAAAGCATATCTTAGTACATGTGTTTATTAAAGTGCATTTTAAAATAGTTAATGGAAATAAATTAAAGAAAGTGACCAAGATGCTACACAAATATTTGTCATTGTTAACATTTTGTATACTTTCAATTTGAGCATGTAACGTATCTTAAAGTAAAAAAAATCGCAAAAGAAAATAATTTAATGAGATTTTATTTCATACCTTTAAGAACTGAGCTACTTATTTTATTGGTACTATTTTTTAAACCGGTAAAATTATCAAGAGTTGAGTTACAAAAATATTAGCAGTTGTTTTGATTTAACTTTGAACATATTATCATGTTAATAATAGAAGCTGGTCAAAACACAAATAAGAATTAAGTAAAATTAAAAATAAATCAATTAAAGTAAATAAAATGTTTACAGTTATAGCAAGTATATGTTATATATATATATATATATATATATATATATATATATATATATATATATATATATATATATATATATATATATATATATATATATATATATATAATACTACTGCTCTTGCAGGTCTGAAAACACAGAGTGCCTAAAAATAGCTTTCCTGAACCTAAGGTTGATTGAACGTCTGTAGTAAATCGCTGCCATCAATGCTAAAGCAGCCATTACAGCTATTACAATACTTAGAAGTATAGTAACTGGAAGCGAGTCTGTAGTAGAAAAAAATACTAGTTATGCCAATACGGCTACATAAATAAGTTTATAAATACAAATATCAATGTAAATATAAATAAACATAAATAATTATATATATAAATATATATATGTATGTATGTATGTATATATATATATTTATATATATATATATATATATATATATATATATATATATATATATATATATATATATATATATATATATATATATATGTGTGTGTGTGTGTGTGTGTGTGTGTGTACTGAGTTAATTTTATCAAAGTTCCAAAGTTAATTGTTGTTTCTGCATAGATTTACTAATGTGGACAACTGCGAACACAATTAGCTACACTGCTGATTTTAATTAGCATTGACATTTTTATCATTACAGAACTTGCGACAATTTACTTACTATCAGATGGATGGTTCTGTTCCTTAGGTTTTCTCGTGTGTAATATGTCCTTAAGCTTTACTAAAATAAAATGTATTGATTTAAATATGGTTTTATTTTTATTATAATACGAGCTTCGTGTCACTTTCGCGACACAGTGTCAACATATTAAATGTATACTTATGAAGATACAAAAGAAATTTTATCAACTAACACTTTTGTAGATATTACGAAATCAATTTTAGTTTAAACTTAGCACAGGGGAGGGCAATTGTTTTGGCTTGAGAGCCACTTAGCCATTTTAGCGGAGGGCTTCACCGTTTAAAATGACGTGTTGTCTGTCAAATTTGACCTGCTGTCTTTCAAGATTACATCTGGATAATCTACCTCCATATCTTCAAGATTACATCTTGATAATCTACTTCCATATCCTCAAGCATTGATTTGAATTGTCGATGGTTGAGTTCCTTGATTATGTTAAACATGCTTACAACAGGTTCTGTCACTTGTTCTAAGTCAATTGCAGCTTTTCACATGCTTTCCTAATGCAAAAAAATATGAAATTGTTTTCACATTACGTACCAGAGCAGGCAAAGGTATTTTTTTCATCACAGTCTCTATCGTCAAAATAGCCTGGGACATTTTTAAAGGTAAGACATTGCCTAATGTTAGTTTCGTTGATGTCTGCCGTGGTCAACGTGAGGTTCCCGCTATGATGGCTCAGTGGCATTACCTCACCTATAATAATATTTTTTTCACATTACTTGTTATGGGGATAAAATTTATATATAAATATATATATATATATGTTTATATATATAAACATATATATGTATATATATATATATATATATATATATATATATATATATATATATATATATATATATAATATATATATATATATATATATATATATATATATATATATATATATATATATATATATATATATATATATGTTTATATATGCAGTGTACATATATTTATCAACGCATTGGTAAATACATATGTTCATTGTGTATATGTAGAAATGTATTTTCATCAATACGCAAGGCAGCTCTTTCTAATATGTCATCATGATTTACTTTTCTTAGCCCAAGACACAAGTTGCCGCCACAGAAACATCCCTCCACTTTTGTCGGTCTCCGGCAATCTACCAGACAATCCTCCATGACAGTCCTGCCTCTGAGCTGAATACATCCGCGTCTCCGTTGACCTTCCCTGTTTTCTTTTTACTCAAGGCGTCCAATTTAACTCAATCCCTGCTATCTTTTATGTGCCTACAATAAAAGTTCTAGTTTTTTTTTACCATTTACCCGTGTGTGTTCTGTAAAATCCGACCCAAAACTTTATTTTCCCAAAAACTGTTATCAAAAACTTTAGCTCTTCTATCGATCCCTGGAACTCCCACAGCGCCATCTTGTGTGTCTTGCAATATTTCACCGCGTAATGCCAGCGGACGTAGAGTTCTATAGGCACCAAGAAGCAAGTGTCTCTATACGTAATCAGGTGACCAGGGCACTTATCATGCGAGTGGTGAGTATGGTGATACTGGTCTGTTTGGTCGATGGAATTAGCTGCAGGTAAACAAAGAAATGCTGTATAATGTGTGACTATAATATGTGTTAGAAACATCATTCTTTCTTTAAAGCCACGAAAGAAACTTCAGGACAGATAAAGATTAGTTAATTTGTTTTAATAACCTTAACAAACACGGGGGGATAGTGTGGTCAGAAGTATACACATCCGCCTTTGTTTCCCAATAGTTTGTCAGGAAACCATCAAAACTGCATAACCTCATGTATATCCAACAAAATTAAGCCCAGGATCTGAACACGAGACTTTCGAGTTAGCAGTCGAGAGCTCTACCACTCTAGGACCCAGTCCCTTTGTGTGATATGTTTTAATATTATTTATATGTTTAATTATTAGTATTATTATTTTATTATTATTGAAATAAAACCTTTATATTATTAACATTTTAAAAATATATTAGATGCTTAAATTCAATAGTATCTCTAAACTTACATAGATTATAAACTATATTCGGCTGATTTATAAGCACATTCTACCCACCTGGTATGTTGCTAGTAGAAAGACGAGTCAATAAAAAAATGCAGATAAGTTTTAACACTGTGTGAGTTGCCATCTCGATGGTTATCTCTCTTGTGATGCCGCCCTCTGTATGTCTCACAACAAAACCACACAGCTTGTAGCACCTCTATCCTAGTTGAATGTGCTTGACATCACAGTGTCTGGGTCAAGTTGTGATTGGCTGACTATACCAGTCGCTTCCCTTGTTAGCCTTGTCACTCTGTACAACAACATACACATCAACTAACCCGGACTCGACCCCGCCTTACCATACAATACTAAAGGTGTACACATAAATACATAGGCACACACAAACACACAAAAGTGCAGAGTAACTGTAAAATGAAAACGATGATATCGATGTGGAAGCAACTAAACATATTTTATTGGAATAGCGCTTGCATTATCAAGAACAAAACAAATGTTTTTCTTGCGTGAATTTTTAAAAAAAATTAAGTTGTTTGTTTTAAAGAAAATGTTAATAATATGTGATAAAAGAAATTAATCAATCTATATATAATAGTATTATAAGATAAACATATAATCCGCTGAATAGTATTATAAGACGGAGATATGTGTCGCATCTGTGCTTTATTAAAATCAGTACGAATCAATTTCATTAACTTCAGCATGCACAGTTTAATAAGATATTCTCCAATTATGTTACTTTTGACTTTTGCGGATATAGAGGATAGAGGAAGTATTGAAATCGTGCAAAAAGTTGAAATTGAGATATTCAGAAATCTCGACGTTTTACTCCTGAGTCTGAAGAGCATAGCTTTTATAGGCCTATGTAGCTTTTATGTTTAGATTTGAGTTGCCCTCCCCAAATTTTTTTACGAAAATATTTTCATTATTTTGAGAACTGTAGGCTATGGAATTGTTTGTATCTTTTTCAAAGACAAAAGCAATCAACCCAGTTAATAATATAACCTTTATTAATTTATCTGATTATTTAAAAAAAAATATTACAGGGCACTCAGCGGCCCACGTGAGCCTTTGAGGACTGAATTTTTTGCTCGTAGCCGAAACGCACCCTACTTACCACGGCGCCGGCAGACACGCCTGATTCAATTTAATGAGTGACTGTAACGCCCCATGTTATCTATTGTACACTGCACTGTTTAAAACGAACTTAGGCGCCATTGCGCTCATGGGAAACCTCAGTGCGCCAAATCGAACCCTGCAGGGGCATCGGGGGACGCGTCTTGTTCCATATAGTCATCGAATATTGTTGTACATCGTGTCTTTAGTGTATAGCCTTTTTTGAACGAACGTAGGCGCCATAGTGCTCGCAGTGGTGCCCGGGGCGATTAGGTTCGTGCATCCTACGGGGCGCCGGCGGTTGCGCTTTTTGAAGTTTTATCGTTGAATATAGTAGTACACATTACCCGCTATGCAGGAAGCACTATTAACGGATGCTAAATGCTAACATACCAGCACTCTGGGCACCGCCCATATCAAATTTTAATTATTTTACCACAGAAACCTTCTCGGGTGTATTCTCATCAACTCCCCAAAGTTTTATGGCACACGGATGGGCGATGTCAAACTGCATCCAACTTTTATTTTTAATATACAGTATATTTAGAAACATTTCACCAATTAAAAGTAAAAATTTTTTTTTTTGCAGAAACCTTCCTTGGAGTGTTTCGATGAACTCCCCAAATATTCATGGCACTCTGATGAACGGTGTCAAACCACAATCGACTTTTATTTTTATATTATATACTGTCTATCGAGAAAAATCTCACCCTCCCGTGGCGCCGCCCTTGCAAAATTAAAAAGGATTTTTTTTTTTACAGAACCCTTCCCTGGAGTGTTCTAATGAACTCACCAAAGTTTGATTGCGATCAGATGAACGGTGTGAAACCCCAATCGACTTTTATTTTTATATCCTGTATATAAAGAAAAAACAAATCGCGCCGGTTCGCCACCCCCGCGAATTTGATTCTTATTGCGCATAGACCTCCACAAGAGTGTTCTAAACAACTGTCTTAAGTTTCATGGAGATTCTATGAAAGGTGTAGTAATTCATAAAAGACAGAAAACAAACAAATACACACACATAATTGATTTTTATATAAACAGATATATTTAACGTACTTAACTATTAAATAGTGCTATATAACATTTACAAAAGGACAAAAATAAATTATATTTGACTTAGCGCATTATTAAGTAGTTTATTAAGCTTTATTTGTACAAGCGCTTGTATTTTAACACATTTTAGCGTCCGCTGATTTTATTATTGTAAAGAACAAAACGTTTCTCATTTTTATATATTGGGTTTCAAGTTATAATAATGTTGTAATAAAGTAAATGGCATATTATAGGTTAAAACAGAACTCTACACCACCTGGGCAATTATATTTGATAATAAAGTGATTAAATATCGATTTATTTCTGTCAATGTTGTAATTATAATCTAATCTAAGCTCAGTGGTAAAAGCCATGCCTAACACCAATCTAGACGATGATTTTCGACGAGTTTAAGCTATGTGGTATTTGATAAAGTGATATCACTCGGGCCAATGAGTGCCGCTTGCTAATGAACAATAGAGGCCATCATAATTATTGTTGATAAGAATAAAATTAGTTTTTTTTAATATTTTGACGTCGTAGCAGCCGTAAAAAGAAATAAAAACGTAAGCCTAAAATAATTCAGAAATTTAATATTTTTAGAATCAAAAGTTAAAAATACAGAGAATTTGAAAAAAAAATTGTTGTTAGTTTATTGCAACATTTGTATTTATTTTCAAGCCTAAGTTTCACTTTCGTACGACAAATCTTGATTTGATGTACAGGATAGCCAAGGTCGATACTCTCAAAACGCCACTTCTTAAAATTTATATAGTAATTTGTACTCAAAACTTTAGCGATACGATTTTTTTAAAACTATTTTTTTAACCACATGATCTAGCTCAGCCATGTCTGGTGTCATTTTCAGTCATGAAATGTAAACAAACAAATAGTTTTTGGCTGTTTTAAAATTGTGTTTAGTTACCGAAAATACCAACAACATCAAGTGCATCCACAATCAGAAAGATAATGTACATGACTATTAGCTTATAGAATGTTATGTAGTGTTTACTAACAAAAGATGAATATATTTTGATGTGTAAAGTAGTTTTTATCAGAATTAAAGGGATGTTATGGTAGTAAAAAAAAACATTAGGCATATATTATTGCGATTATTGTCCTTTAATTCAAAGCAAATAAATATTTAAAAAGAAATAAAACCTTCAGTATTTAATCATGCGCTCCTATTTTATGGCTGGAATTAATAATATTTAAATCTATTTTAATGAAAAAAAATGTCTATATAGATTAAAAATAAGATATTCTTTCATTGTCATCCTAAAAGAAATCACTGCATTTGAAGTGATTGCTCATAAATTATCTTACACATTTTTTTTGAGAAAAATCAATTTATTAAAGCAAGCAAATGCATTTTATTTGTATTCATTTTCATGCCATTTAAATTCTTGTTTTTCTATATATGCTTACACATTTAAAAAATAATTTAAGTACAGTTAGTATGTAATATTAACTTTCGTTAAAGTATTATATGTTATGAATGTTTGTTATTTCCTACGCTTTACGTATGGTGTCATTTCTGATAAGGACAACGCACATAACTATTCGTTTTATTGTCCTGTACGGTTGCGAGCTTTTTGAACTTATATTGTACTTTTAAATTATAATTTTTTTAACATATTTTTTTAAATTATTTTTTTTACTATCTCGTATAAAGGAAATAAATTTGTCATCATGCTTAAAACCTAAATCAATATTTTAATAAATCGTGTCTCTATTTGTTTCTGTCTACCCGTGTGTCTATTTGAGTGTGGTATATTAAAACCAAGATATCGTTAGTTCCGCTAAATTCACAAGCGTTAGATCCTACGTAGTTTCCAATCAACTTTTCAATAATTTCTATTACCCGGAATTTCAAATTATACTCTAATAAAAAAAAATTATGCAATCTAGTTAACTTGCAGGAGGTATGTCTAATAGCAATGTAGATATCGGGCTTCCGGTGCTAATAACGTATGTTGTAATTTAATAATGTGTTATGCCGGTAAATAATAGACCAAAAATACGTAGAGCAGCAATCACTGAGAAGATTAAGAAAGTATTTTAAATCCCAACATTCTTCATAACATGAAGCGGCAATAAGACCTCTCATACTATAATACATTATTTCTTCTTCTTCTTCTTCGTTCTTAATTTTTAGTGTTGGGAGGGATCGAGCCTTATCTGCCAGAGGGTTTGGACTCGAGACTTTTTTTTTCGAATTTATCAACCATATATATATATATACATATATATATATGTATATATATATATATATATATATATATATATATATATATATATATATATATATATATATATATATATATATATGTATGTATGTATATATATATATATATATATACATAGAGGGAGAGATAAATATATAGATAAAAGATATATTCATATTTTGATATTTAGATATAATATATAGATATATAGATATATAGAAATTATGTAACTAGTTGTCATCCAGTTTTCAAAGCATAATATTAAAATAATTTCTTTTTCTGAACTTCGCCTAAATTGAACGTCTGTTGAAAATCGCTGCCACTAATGTGAGGGCGGCCATTACCGCTACAACAACACCTACAACTGTGGCAACTGGTGGCTTGTCTGAAGTAAAGAAATATATTTACAACTAACCCTAATACACATTAATAAATTAGTTTATATAAAAGTATATATCTATATTTCATTTGTTATATGTGTATATATATATATATATATATATATATATATATATATATATATATATATATATATATATATATATATATATATATATATATTTATATATATATATATACATACATATATATATATATATATATATATATATATATATATATATATATATATATTTATTTACTTATTTATTTATTTATATTTATTTATTTATTTATATATATACGATCTAAATATTGAATAATAGAAGGCTTTGTACATACTTTCAAAAGAATGGCTAAATATACACAGCATCATTCGATGAATGATTTTTATAAATTTTAGTATAATCGTCTTTTCATTGTTTATGTAAAATTTCGACATATACTTACGGTAAGTTGAATGATTTTCACCCTTGAGTGTTTTAAAGTGCAAAATATGTCTAAGCTTCACTGAAATCAAAATAATGTTCAATTCAATCATCTTAGATTATTATTGAAATTAATTTTATCATAATGATTTTTGAACGCCTATTTACTTACTTTGAAAACTTTTCAATACATTTTTTTAGAATACTGTTTTCTATTTTTTTTTTTAAATACATTTTGTTAACCTTGAACTTTTTTAATTTACTATAAATTTAATGTTGTTTTGTATTAGAAAAAAAAAATTCTCGTTTAGACCTAGCACCCCATTGGATAGATTAAGGAGAGAGGAAATGGTTCTTAAACTCGGCATAACATGTATAATGTAGTCAGCACAAAGAACAGTTTACTTTCCCTAACGTGAGTTATGTACACATCAGAGCTGAGTCGACTCTGGGATGTTTGTATTGACTTGAACCCGTATTTCAACTCGAGACTCTCGAACTAGCAGAACCGTAATCTTGTATTACATTTACTAAATATTTGAACAAATAACAAAAAAAAATGTAAATGAACAGAAGCTGTATAAAAAAAAAATTACATACCATGGCAGACAGTGTACATTTTTTCCTTACAGTCCTTTACCTCCAGCTTGCCCAAAACATTGTTGAAGGCGATACACTGATTAGTGTTTGTGTCGTTCATCGCTGTCAAGTTCATAGTTAAATTCCAATCCTGGTGGTCAAGTGATTTTAACTGACCTATAAATCATTATTGTGTATATTAGTTGCTGCTTTATCTTAAGAACATCCTAAGAAACCAACACACGCGTATAAAGAACAAATATAGGTCTAGCTAGTTATCTCCCCTTATATTATTACATTAGTGATCTTTCGAGGGATTTAATTTTGTTATCTCGCTTTAAATTCGAAACAGTTTAATTATTTTTTAATGACTAATTAAACATCTAATGAAATTTTTAAGAAGATAGACATGTCATGGAAGTGGAACTGGAAAATTTGACGAAATTGATTCCTTAATGTGGGCCAACATTCGGTTAAACGTTTTGCCCTTAACAAACAAACAAAAAAAAAAACCAGGAGTTGCGAACTAAATTACAGCTTTTAAACGACCGAAGCCAAACATATACATGTGAATGCATATGATACATTAGAAACTCAAAAACATTTTAGTGCATAAAAAAGACATGTTAGTATTATATACTTCTACTATTAATGTTGAGATTATGAGCTTACTTTACCTGATGGTGACATATACAGCCCGATCCAAATCTCGCTCATATTCCCCACATGTTTTTTTACAAATTTAAACTCTTCATATGATTTCACATTCAGTAGCCCCATCCCGAGTTTCTTGCAATGTTTTATCGCGTCATGCCAGCTATACACGTGATCTGACTGAACCATATAGCAACTATCTCTATGTTTGATCTCATGCTCAGGACATTTATGATGTGGGTGGTCTGGTTGTTGATACTGCTCCGTCACAATAGTGACATTTGCTTTTAGTAAATAAAAAAAAAAGTTTTAATTCTTCTTTGTCTGATTGGTAGACGAAGCTGTAGGTAAAAGAAAAGTAAGAATATTCCCGCAAGCAATGACATTTGTGTAATTAAATGAAAGACAGTTATTTGTATAATATAAACAAATCCACAAGTAATATTCAATTTTCGATAGCACTTGACAGTGAGTGCCGTGTTCGGATACCGAATGACTAAAATTACTGTCTTTAAAATGGCGATTTTCAAATTGAGTACAGTAACTTGGGGATAAAACAACGCAATATTACAATTTCAAATTTAAAAAAAACCCATAATTCCTGACAAAATAGTATATCTTGACGCTGGTTTGAATCGCAAGTCACTACCCACCCCTCCTCAAAATGCATATACATATATATATATATATATATATATATATATATATATATATATATATATATATATATATATATATATATATATATATATATATATATATATATATATATATATGTGTGTGTGTGTGTGTGTGTGTGTGTGTGTGTGTGTTTGTGTGAGAGAGCTTAATCAAAGGCCAGGAAAGGAAATATTCGCAAACAAAACGTCATGGGAGAAGGCAAATATTTTTCGTAAATGTAAAAGATCATGAAAAGGGTACAATTCTCCATAGAGATAATAGATGAAGCAAGTTAAGAATTAATTACGTTTTAACTGAACTAAAGTTCAATTTGTATCCAGCCAATGGAATAACAAATATGCGCATTAAATAAAATTTCGAAATAATTAAATAGGCCCCTATTTCCGTGTTTTATAAATCCTAAATTCTTACATTTTTCAATAGGCAATAGACAAACAAAGGGTAGTTTCTTCCAACATTCTTCATGGTTGTTTTTTGTCCCATTAAACAAGGATGTGCAAAGCTGCATCCTTCTGCTTTTGAACATTTTCATCATCATGTAGTCAAAGCTCTTTACAAAATAATAACGAGCATTTAATATAATTACAATGTTTTTATGAAGAATAAAATATCTGAAAAAAAACTAACGATACGTCAGTATCAACAAAACATGCTAATATACATACTCAAAAACGACATTAGTAAGTATATTTTAGAAATATAATTATCTTCATCTGTTCACGTTCATTGGGCAACATTAAGTCGAGGTTTTTTTTTTAGACATGCATGGTTAAAGTGTGGATTGTAGAATGCCAAGCATTATATTTTTTTTAAGTGAGTTAGGAACTTTAAAAAGCTGGGTGAACATATGGACGTCCTATAGGATTAAGCCAGATATTAGAACTCAATATGCCTTTTGTAAACACTACTAACCTATCACTACATTACCAGGCTTAAAATATAACTTTCGTATTTCATTTCAAAAGCTGAAATATCAAAATATTTTCAGCATTGTTTTAATTTACTAAAGAAAAAATACAAACGTTTATGATTATACAAAAATATAAACGCACTATATTTGTATTTGTATTAGCTTATAGCAAAACACTGATATACACGTTTGAAAATGTATTGGTATCTCACACTCATAATTTCACCGTCATGTTTGATCCAAACGTCACCAGTGATGTTCTTTAACTCCAGCTCGTAATTAAGCAACATCACATCACGTTTGTCAGGCATCAAAGTACCGCCTTTACTGGCACAGACAGTTTCAGCATCAGGATTCGCCAGGGGAACATTCACGGCCACCAGACATTGCCCAAGGTAGAAGAGGCTCATAACGTCACATTGTTGCGTCAGATTGGTAATTGATTCAGCCAAGCCTAAAATTCACAAACGTAGCGTATTTTTATCACATGTGACAGATGAACTAGCTTTTTCTGTTTCTACCCATATAGGTCTCTACACACACACACACACACACACACACACAAACACACACACACACACACTCACACACACACACTAACACACACACACACATACACACACACACACACATATAAATATATATATATATATATATATATATATATATATATATATATATATATATATATATATATATATATATATATATATATATATATATAATCGATAACAATGATTAGCTTAATCTATTTAATCAACAAAATACTTTACTTCCATTGAATAAAGCATTCTTTTCATGTAGCTGCACGTATTTCTTACAGATGAAAGGTAATTTTCTTTGGCAATTGGTATCCATGTGAATTTCGAGAGTAGGTTCTGAATATTAAAACGAGGGATCCATTATTGTTATTTAATATCACTGAAACAACTGTAATTAAAATGTTTTGATATTGATAAAACTATCAAATGTGTAGTTTTTTTTTTTAAACACCAACAGTCAAAAAATAATAGTTCATAATTAGAAAGGACAAAAAATCTCCAAAAAAAAATCAAATAAATTCAGTGCATATTTTCTTATGACACATAATATAAAGATATCCTATTTAGATTTAAGGATATTTACCGTGTAACCCACATCAATTCAAACATAATCAAAAAGATATGCAAAAATAAAAATTATTACGCGATTCCACCTATAACTAAATAAAAAAAAAACTTTTAGTAATCAATTTTACTTAGAATAAGGTACAACAAGTTTTTCACGTGAACATAAGCCAAGAGGTAGAAGTAGTTGTAGAGACAGACGTAGAGATAGAAGTAGACCAATACTTACATGTACACCTGCAACTATAATTACACATACAATTATATATATACAGCTACAGCTACAGCTACAGCTACAGCTACAGCTACAGCTACAGCTACAGCTACAGCTACAGCTACAGCTACAGCTACAGCTACACCTACACCTACACCTACACCTACACCTACACCTACACCTACACCTACACCTACACCTACACCTACACCTACACCTACACCTACACCTACACCTACACCTACACCTACACCTACACCTACACCTACACCTACACCTACACCTACACCTACACCTACACCACATTGACATATACATTTACATTTTCACCTGTAAATGTTCACATTTACGCACACGCACACGTTTGCATTAGTTTTTGTCAATATTTTCATTTTGTAAAGAAAAGTTGATGATTAAAGATATATATGGTATAATATACTTTAAAAAATGTAAACTTACTTGTATCATGGTAACCATGATAGTTACTTGAAATGTAGTTGTAGCCCCATGGTGCTTAAATTGTGTATAAAGTGAAATTTGAACAGTTGAAATTGTTTTAATGTTATTGATATACATAAAAACGTGTATTATTAAAAAAAAAGTATTTTGCTTCGTCAAAAACATGTTTTTTTTTCTAATGTGATTGAAATTGTAATAATTTCTTGCATTAAAAACAAAAAAAAAAAAATGCGAAACATGGTGTCTAGGTCAAGTTTTAATTAACTTAAATAAGTAAGGTTTATGCTCAGAGGCGTAACGACCCTTCCTGGCGCCCGGGGACAAACTTTCATTTTGGCGTCCCCCCCCCATATATATATATATATATATATATATATATATATATATATATATATATATATATATATATATATATATATATATATAATGCAAAACTGCAGCTAAAATGAGCTCTTAATTTTGGAGCACCCTAGGGCCGGCGCCCCGGGACATATGTACCGCCCGCCTCCCCCCCCCCCATTCGCTACGCCTCTGCTTATGCCTGCATATACTTACATTGTCTTGATTGTGGTGCTAACGTCGCGCACATTAGAGGATGATTTGTACTGTTAATATAAACTAATTGTTACAGTTATTTATATCTATTTCAGTTACATCGTGGCTATTGTTTTAATATTTGTTTAACATTAAAAATGAATGATACAAAATCGTTACATTATTATGTATTTTATCTAATTCTTCAATAATCATTTTTAAGATTCTTATATCAAGTGCACAATATAAAATTAATTTATATTTTCGAAGTTTAAAATTAAATATTATAAAATAACCTACTATAAATAAACCCAAACGTCGCTTGACACCTAAAATAAATTAAAGCATATTCATCAACAAATTGTTTTTAATTAAGGGGATATGCGCATACAAAAATCACTAAAATCCTGATTTTTTTATCACAATGAGTTTCCTGCACTTTTGAATACTTTTTCCGTTTTTGTATTAAGAAAATAAAAATTTTAATGAGTAATATTTTTTAAAGTGTTGAAAATTTTTTTTTTGATACCCTATTTATAACAAAATAACCTTTTTCCCAATCTTACTTCCTCTCTACGAAACGTTTAATATCGGTCATTATTTTATATTTGGCATCATTGGATATCTGGATTGCTCATGTATTTGATAATCGTATTTACGATAATCTTGGAAACACACAAAGCTTGCAATCGCTTTAGAAAGTACCCCCTATCTTTTAAAATGAATTTTCATCGTTAATTAAAATAGTTTCCTTTCAAATACGTTTCACGCTTTACCAGAGCCAAACTAAATCGAGTGTCATCCCTCCAATAGTAACGAGTAATAGCGCTCACATACAATTTTGTTATTTTCATTATAAAAAAACACTGTTTTGAACGTAAATTTGACTAAACCCCTGCTTGTGCCAATACTTACAAAGTCTTTTACAAACTCTAATGTTTCCTCTTGAAATCCCTCAAAAAGGAAAGCGCCATAGCGCCCACATGTGCTGTTAGCTTCCTCCCAGTTAGCGTAAGGCTCGTAGTTCTTGCTAAAGTAGTAGCAAAGATGCTGATCTTGAACCCAATTTTTCTCGCAACGGTAATCCACAGCTGAAATTAATTGAAGACACGGGTCATCAAAATGTGTTATTGTCATATATATTATTTTAATGATTATTAAGGTTGAACGTGTCAATAAAGTGGATTGCGTGGTAGAATAGTAGAGCGCTTGAATGCTATTTGGAAGATTTCTGTCCGAACTTGCTACTGCATCATGCCACTGAGCCCATTGAGTATGACAACCACCTTGGCCTTGTTCACGAAAGCGTGGTAGTCGTGGTAAGTTCAGTAAAGCTCATGCTTGTTGCTGAACCGAAAAATCGAGATTTCTAACCCCGATTTATATAAGCTGGGGACATCAACTCTTCTAGGAGAGACAACTCCAAAATCAAACAACTGCTGTCTTGTATTTTGTTCTTTGATGGAAAAAGGCTTTGGAAGCAAATCCAAAATGATAAGGCTTAACTCGTAGTCAGCGGCCTATGTAGCGCAAAATAAATGGCACGTAATAGGAGTAAACCCTATCTAATATTACAATAAAAAACGAAGTAAAAAAAGTTGGGAAATCTTCTTCTTCTTCTTCTTCGTTCTTAATTATTAGTGTTGAAGGGGATCGAGAATTATCTGCCAGTGCGTTTGAACTCGAGACTTTGTTCAAATTTATCAACCATGAGCTTTTTGCCGACTCGACCACACCTCCAACACAATTAAGCGTTACGTGTCAACTGGTTATGCGCCATTGAGGCCATTGACTCCGATTTCAGCCTGCTTTTCTTTTTGGATTTGCTTCCATAGCCTTTGTCCAACCAAGAACAAACTACAAGGCAGCAGTTGTTTAATTTTGGAGTTGTCTCTCCTAGAAGAGTGGCTGTCCCCAGCTAACGAGCCTCATCTGCCCGGGGGTTTGAACTCGAGACTTTTCGGTTTAGCAACCATGAGCTTTACCGACTCGACCACGCCGACCCCTAGTTAGGAAATGCATGGGCGGTTTGCCATCCAACATCACTTCATATTCAGAGGTCAAGAAACATATGAATTTTACTTTACCCGAATTGTTGAATTTTTAACAATAAAACAGTTACGTTTTTTTTCTTCTCTATTTTCCTCTTCTTTTTTTTTTCTTTTGAAAGATGACGCCATTAGTTTTGTGTTCTTTCTGTAGTTTAAATATTTGGCATGTGACGTCATTGTTTATTGTGTTCTTTTCACAACAATAAACGCTTTTCCGAATGCAAAATTAAAACTGTGTTTCTACATTCGAATATGCCCTTACTTTTATTTTTCCTTATTTAAATAAATTAAATTTAGGGACTATACATTTATAATGTCCACTATATCTTTTTCAATAAAATTCGGTATCTTTAAGTTCTCCGTATTTTGCTGAACATACTGATCACATCTCCTAAAAAACAAGCGGACAGAGAAAGAGAAAGAAGTGCGCACATGGGCTTTTATGGGAGCCGGACGTTTTCCCGAAAGACACTTGCCCGAATACCGTTTGCCCGAAGACCGTTTTCCCGAATGGACACTTGCCCGAATACGACAAACGCCCGAATGGACACTTGCCCGAATGCGACAAATGCCCGAATGGACACTTGTCCGAATGCGACAAATGCCCGAATGGACACTTGCCCGAATGGGACAAATACCCGAATGGACACTTGCCCGAATGCGACAAATGCCCGAATGCCACTTGCCCGAAGGCCGTTTGCCCGAAAAATGTTAATATTAGATAATAAATAATATTTCCAAATAGACATTCTTTAATCAATTTAAGTTTGAAATTTTTATTAAAAACACAATTCTAAGCATAAACCAAAGTTGTTTATATTTTTAAATTCATCTTTTTTTTTTTTTAAAAACTGAGAAAGCGCTGTAAGAAAAACTTTATTCTTTAATAAATGGTAGGTGATGTTGGCGGAGGTTTTCTAACATTCTTTTGATGAATGTTTTGAACACCTTGTTTAGCCGACGAGTTGCGGTGGTTATATAGCTTTTATGACACGGCGTGGGCGGCGCGTCGTCTCGCAACATTGAACAGAGGAACGTTTGTTTGTTTATCTTATTATGCTAAACTTATGTGGTGATCATTTAACAAAAGAATGAGGCTAGGTCTAGGTTGCGATGTTAAAAACTAAAGGTAGCCAAATATCGTCCCCTCAGTATTATCTTGTTCTATCTCTCAAAATGTCGTTTTGAGAAAAACGCATCTGAAGTTTCATGTGTTCTGATTCTTATATTTAAATTGTTCCAATTCATTTTTTTTTAGATAAAATGTTAAAGGGCATTAAACAATGAGCATCCAAGTTATTTTTATTACTTTATGTACCATTAGAAGACCATAATAATTATTTTTCACTTTTGAGATAGAACAAAATACGATGAAAGTGATCAGGTTTCAATAATTGTATAATGTTCTAAGTCAAATTTTGTGTTTTTTAGGCAGTTATAATAGCTTTTCTAGAAGTATTATCTACTTTTTGTATGAGCATTGTCTCCTGGTTTTGTGTCCTATTGTTCCCGGTCTTTACTTTCATATTTTTGATTACCGCAATGTGCAAAAAATTACAGAACAAGTAATATTTTAAGTTGTAAGTATGCTTTTGCATACAGAATTTTGATTTAATGTATTAATAAAATGAATTCACAAGTCAATAGATAGTTTCAATAGATTTTAATGTTTTAATTTTATTCTACACCATGAGCCGTTTAAAAAACAAAAAAAAAAAAAAAAAATAACAAGAACTTGTAATAATGAATATTGAGAAAATACGTAAACTTTATTTTTATAATCAAAACAGTTTTAGCAAAAATAACACTCGCCGACAGTGCTTTAAAAACGTACTGTTAAAGGCTTTGTAATTTAGAAATAGATGATAACTAGCCACAAAGAGTAGCCATAAATTTTCTGTCAATCTCTGGCATGTAGGGCATCATTTTTTTCAAATCTTTCTTCTTTTCTGCTGAAATTAGGGAGCCCACTTTATTCGACTGAATTGAAAACTCCGGTATACTGGGAGATGTTTCAGGCTTTTCTTTTCTAAGTGTCAGTGAACGTAAGGAGATGATGGTAAACTCATCAGTATGTTTTGTTTTAAAATAGAGAGACTTGGTTGATTGCGCAGTATAAAAAATTTGCTTAACTTTCGAAAAAGGTACATTTGAAAAGTTGTAAAATTTTGAAACTGTCTGAACATTTAAAAAATCTGTTTGTTTCATCTGAAGAACGTTATAGGGTTTCATCTGCCTGATAGATTTCAGCATTTTCAACAGTCCCAGAGGACTAAATAGCTCCGTTTTTTTTTAAACAGTGGTCAATACTACTATGCACTGCATCAACTTCTTGAATGCAGGCATGGCCTTTTTCTGAAAACTTTTGAGTGATAGACTCAACTTGAGCATGGTTATTTAAAAATGAATTATCGCTGTACTCATGATGCGGTTTCTATTCTGTGGAACACACGAATCTGACCACAGTATCAGGTTTTTTATCTGAGGATGCTTCTCCAAGACAGACTCTAAAATTTTAATGATGGCAGATGCCATGTCATTCCCAGATCTGCCAGACTGGCCTTCAGTCCAGACACAACAGTAAGTAGATTTGTCTACCGACAGATGCGCTGTCATGTTATAAGAAGAGAGCTTCCTTAGGTAATAAAAATTTGAGACTTCAGCCTTCGGGAGGGTTATGACTTTTTGCAAATCAAAGGAAAGAACAGGAACTCTTGACTCTCTATCTCGCTTTCGTTCTTCACGGGCATCTTCTTTAAGTTCAATGTGTTTGAAATGTCGTGATTGCTCTTCATCACTGAACGTACCTTCAGAGGTTTTAGTTTTGAATATTTCACATTTTTCACATCTATCCTTTTTTCTATGGTGGAACGAAATGTTAAATTCTGTTGCAAAAATATTAGTGTACAAGTGTTTTTTACCAGCTTCATATCCCTTTTCCTGACAAAATGTTGTGTATAATTCATAAAGCCGACTTGCAGATAATTCGGATTCAAAATACTTTCGGTTTGTTTTAGCTCTGCAATAGTGTGAGTCTACACAAGGCACACTCCTAATATGTTCTCTTATTCCTTCTCTAACATTGTCAGGAATCCTTTTTTTGACATGTTTGCCTTGTTTCCTAGCAGCTGGTGTATTGGTTGCTGTTTGAAAGTGATCATAGAAGTAGGAGATTCTACGTTGGCTAATGTCCAATGTGTTCAAAAAAAAGGGTTTACAAACTCTGATAGCAGAACCATCTTTATAGAAAAAGTAGGAGAAAGAGTACTGCCGCCTCGAGTCCTCAACTGTTGTTCTTTTAGTTTTTTTTAAAATACGTGTTGTATTTTCGCTGTAGAAATGCGATTTTCTCTCATCAGGGAGGCTCCAGAAATGTGCAAATATCAAAGCCCTTTGGTCTTCTGAGAAGAATGTGCTGCATTTGAATTTGCATGCTGTGCAGTCCTTTGTATTTTTCAACTCCCTTCTTCGTCTAACTGTTTTGTTTCTGTTGTGATACTCCTCGCCTGCTTGTCTTTTCCTTTTATTTATGTAACATTTCCATGCCTGTGGATCTTTTGTTCTTTTTCGCCCTTTTCTATGGATAAAAATGAAAGGTTAGATACACGAAATTTGTAAAAAATACAAAAACAGGATGCTCCCATTCTAAGGAATAAACTAAAATTAAATTATGCTTTTAAAGACTTATTAATTACTAATAATTAATTACCTCCGATTTTGATTTGTAATATCATTATCCGTACACTCAAACAACTCCTCGTTTTGAATTGTATCATTCTGTTGTGTAACATTTAGACTGGAAACATAAAGTAAAACGTAATGACTACAAGAGCAACGTGTTTGACAATATAACTAAAAAAGTTTACTAACAATTAATTACCCTAAATTCTGAGTTGCAACATCCATATCTGTATAGTCCATCGCTTCATTCTGATTTAAATTATTCTGCTGTACAATATTTAAACTGGAAATATAAAGTAAAATGTAATGACCAATCGAAATGTTTGTACCTATATCACTGAAAAATTCCTATTATTAACTATAGTATTTACTTTTTATATTAAGGCCATATTGCAAAGAAATAATTGCATGCATATTAAGCAATATTATAACAATTTTAATAGAAAAAGCAATGAAGTTAAGTTACCTAGAATCAGTAATTACTGGAGCACTAGGATAATGTATGGACTCCACAATAGGCCATTGTCCTTTCTTCAAAATTCTACAAATGTAACTGGGATCAGCATCAGAGTCATCAAGATATTCCGAATCAGTGCTGTTAATAAAGATAAACAATTCAAATTCATTCACATTTTACGAAGGCCGTTAAATCAGGCAGTCGATATTAGTTATGCTATATAATATTCTTAGTCATTATAGACTAAATTGTTTTTTTATTAGATCTAATATTGTAAATAATTATAATCGTTAATTATTATCAATAACGCTGACGTTTTTTTTACTGCTTAAATAAAAAATATTTTAAAAACATTAAGATCTGATTAATTAACCACGTGGTCGTTTCCTTTACTTAAACAGTTTATTGCTCCATAAAGGTATTTTTAACTAAAAAACTATTGAACTACAATGTCAAATTACGTAGTGATGACTAAGTATAAAATCTAGATCTACTTACGATTCATGAGCTTGTAATTCCGTCAATTTATTTGCATCAAAATCAGAATCGTCGAAAAAAAGTTTACGCGCCGCCATAATTTGGATCAGCAACACGAAAGTCACGTGATTTATCGATAGAATTTCATTGGCCGAGTCTGACATAGAACATTATTATTCTAACGTCGATAAGGAAAATATTGAGTTAGAACAGAATAGCATTAAAATGTTATGAAAAATTGACATAGAACAAGATTATACTGGCCGAATGCATCAACTTGTAGTTAGAACAATATCAAATTGAAAAGTTTGGTAAGAAGCAGATGACTTAGAGTCACGTGGATAAGTGGAGATTGAACATAGTGCTTTTCTACATCATAGGGTCGAGTTTTTCGAAAAAATCAAAATTTGTAGTTAGAACAAGATAATACTGAGGGGACGATATGTTTGATCTCCATTTAATGCGCCTTGTTAAGACAATGTGTTGAAACGATTACTTAATAAAGAAAGCAAAACTCATTTTAAAATCCGGAGATGAATGAAAATTGTATTTTTGTCTAATTTCATATGGAAGAGAAAGTATTTTTCTACACTTTTTAAATATCAAATACAAATTAATTTAAAATGTCTGCGTGGTAATATATATATTATTTTTTTCACTTTTTTTGCGTAGATGTGTTTTGTTTACCAACATTTTAAATTTAAATTGATTACGAGTGATTATTTAGTAATATATAATGTTAACATTTTTCAGGCAAACGGCCTTCGGGCAAGTGGCATTCGGGCAATTGTCGCATTCGGGCAAGTGTCCATTCGGGCATTTGTCGCATTCGGGCAAGTGTCCATTCGGGCATTTGTCGCATTCGGGCAAGTGTCCATTCGGGCATTTGTCGCATTCGGGCAAGTGTCCATTCGGGCGTTTGTCGCATTCGGGCAAGTGTCCATTCGGGAAATCGGCCTTCGGGCAAACGGCATTCGGGCAAGTGTCTTTCGGGAATTTGTCGTAGATCCGGCTTTTATATATCAGGATGTTCCCTTAGATTTAAGTAGCATAATCCACCTACCAGGTATGTTGGCAATAGAACGACGAGTCAATAAAAAAATACAGATGAGCTTCAGAACAGTTTGAGTTGACATCTTGACAGTTATCTCCCTTCAGAGGCCACCCTCTGTCTGATTTATATACTCCACCAGAATCAGTGTATGGGTCATGTTATAGCTGCCTGCTCTTTAAACACTTAACAAAGTACTCCCATTAACCGAATTTTGATGACATGTATGCTATCGTCACAAAGCGTCTGGTGACGTTAGAGAATTTTTTGATCATAGTCACCCCAGTTCATTTTATCAAGCGTGTAGCTGTTAGAATTCTTCATAGTTTGTACTGTTTAGATCAGTGATTCCTAAAATGGTCGATATTGCCGTAGAAAATGTATCTCAACACGCATACAACTGCTTAAAATCATTTTTAGGTTATACTGTTTAGATCAGTGATTCCTAAATTGTCTTTATTGTCAATGGGAAAACGTTTGGTGAGCGCGGTGAAACAAATCGTGTAGAATACACATTTTATTTTTAACATTTTATCTTTTCTTTAAAAATTTAAATAGCATTATGTATACAATAAAGTGTAGATTTACTGAAAACAATTGAAAATTGTCGTTGTTCAATAACATTTCTAATCATGAATTTATAATTAGTTAAAAAAAACTTAAAATTATTTTTCAAAATTGACAAAATATGTTTTTTTTTTCCTTTTTAAATGATGTAATTAAAAGCAAAACCATAACATCAACTGATGTATGTGTCTATGAATCTTTTATAAGATATATTTACACAAATAATTATGTTAAATATAGTATTAGTAATGAATGTAAAACGTTAAACACGGGAATTATTTAATGAAAATATGTTTTACTATTCCAGAACCCCAAACAATAATTAGTTGGTTGAAGACTGCTCATGCCATGCCCGTTCTAATTTTTATGTCTGTTTCTGCCCCACCCTGCTTATCAGCAATACTTCTAAAGTAGGTGAAGATCAAACACCTATCAATTATTTAATAAGCGTGTTCTGCTCTTAAATATGAGCATAATCTCCAGTTAAGGACAGTTTACTGAAATGTTTGAATTGCATTTGGAGTAGGTTAAATTAACTGACAATACGTGATGGAATCGCACTGAAGAAAAATGCTTCATGAGAGCTAATTAAAGCATTGGAGAAACTTTGGAAAGAAGGAGAAAAAATATTGCTCCAAAAATGTTTTATTTTAAAAGAAAAATAGAAAGGGATGCTATAATTTTTGCAGAAAATATGTTACTGCGATTATTGCCCTTTACTAAATTTTTAATTAAAAAATGGTAAACTTACAAAGTAATTTGAGTACTGAAGTCTGATACAAGATAATTTGTTTTGTTTTGTTATTGTCAATGCATTAAAGAATTACAGCACGGTTTTATGTAGTTTTATTCTCTAGTTTTTATTAAGCTTTATTTAGTTCACAAATTCAGTTTCTAATCCGTTTCAAACTATTTATATATATATATTTTTTTTTAATAGTATGTGTAACATGGGTATAATGTACTGGTAACGCCTTTATTTGAATACATTATCAGATTGGAGAGATTACACTTGTTAAAAGCACAACAACTGGTAATCTTCAAACTGCTGACCAGACTGTGTGCCCTTATGTGGACAATATAGTCCTGATGTCCCGGTCGACCAAACACGAAAAGCGGCAGTCGCCAGCTTTATACAATCATTTCGTTTGTAGGCGCCAGGTATTATATTCACACGCTGGAGAGATTGCAATGTACACACTACGTTCAGCATGAGAGGTTTGAGTACATGAATGTGTCTGGCAATGAGTTGCGAAATGAGTTGTGCATTGAGATGAGCAATAAGCGTAGCAATGTGTTAAGCAATTTGAAGAGCAATTAGACGAGCAACGAGAAGAGCAATCAGTCGATGAAGGAGAATAGCAATGAGTCGAGGGGTAAACAGCAGGCGACAATCAATTACAACGATTATAATAGTCCTCACTCAAGCGGAAACTTTGGATGGCTCACATTCTGGATCATCTACATTTTATTTACAGTGAGCAAAAAAACAACACATTGTATTTATAATAACAATATGTTTAAATTTACTTAATTAACGTCCTCCTCGGGTCTCTGTAATCGGCAATAAATTGTTATCAACCACGTGGAATAAGATGTTTTACATTGTTTTTATATAGAGAGAACTATGGACAATAATCCTAATGTATCTACCATATCAATCCGGTATCCATTGAGGGCAATGAAGCGAGATTGTTACTTTAAGATTCTTCTTTCTTCTTCTGCGTTCTTAATTTTTAGTGTTGGAAGGCCAGAGGGTTCGAACTCGATGCAATTATTTTTTAATTTACCAACCATCAGCTTTGCCGACTCGACCACGCCTTCAAAACAATTAAGTATAAGTGTCAACTGGTTATACTCCATTGAGGCCATTGACTCCGATTTCAGCCTGCTTTTCTTTTTGGATTTGCTTCCATAGCCTTTGTCCAACCAAGAACACACTACAAGGCAGCAGATTTTTCGGTTTAGCAACCATGAGCTTTACCGACTCGTCCACGCCGACCCCAACTTTAAATTTGATATGATTATTATTTTAATGATGGCTGGTTATTAAAACAAACAGTTCTAATTTTACATACAATCAACTAAAAGTTAAAATCACCATTATTTTGAAACCAAAATATAATTATTTAGGTTAAAATAACGGCTTATGTGTCAATGAGCTACAAAACTAGCACAGATGGTAGACTTATATCCCAGACGGTCTGAAAACACAACGTTTAATGCAGGGGTCGGCAACCAGGTGACCAGGTGTGGCTCTTCAGCTCCATGCACAAAAATTAATAATTATTTTATTTCCAAAACTCATAAAAATATTGGCCTGCAACATTCGGTAATAAACGATATAACAATAGATATAAACAGTAAACATTCACTAAACTATTAGCATATTTAGTTACTCCCTATCTCAGTGTACTTCCTATTACATTGTCCATTCCAAATTGAAACATTCAACTTCATAGTGGATATCTCAAAGAAACTAAACCAGCTAAGTGTAAAACTGAAAGGAAAACCCAGCCTATGTCTTGCTTGAAGAAGTGGTTTGTTTCGAAAAAAAAACTTTTTTTTTGTTGAATACATGGTGAGCGGTACTTAATTTCCAAAAATCTGAAAAAAAAAAAAATAGTTTTCAAACCAATGCTACTATTCAATCACTTCAGCATTAATATAAATTATAAACAAAATGAAGGGTGTTTTCATTGAGAGATTTGAGCTATTCAAACAAATGCAAGTACTCTGATTTACATAGTAGATCCTCTCAACACAAATTCAAATGAATTATCTCATATATTCAAAGCTATTTATTTTAAATTATATATATATATATATATATATATTTATATATATGTATATATATATATATATATATTTATATATATATATATATAGTATGATATTTGTTTAGGATTATATATATACTAAACAAATATTCTATTGACATAAAAGTGTTAGTAACTCTTTGAAAACAAGGTAATGTAAATTGTAAATTTTGGCTCTTTCGTCTCCAAAGGTTGCCGACCCCTGGTTTAGTGCTGGTCTGGATTTGATCTCGGTCAAGTGACAATAGCATGCTCTTGTTACTAATGTTACGTTTCTACCACAGCTTAATATGTACGTCCGGAAGTTGTCTAGACTATTTCATTGGTTATCTTTTTCACCATCACAGTAGGTGGAGTTGTATTTTGACACAAGTGGATGGGAAATACGTTGTTTTAATATAATGCACATTACATTTATACAGTCATGCCCAGTTGTTCGAGTAAATAAGATATGCCTCTCCCATCTCTCTCTTTCTCTCTCTTTTTTTTCTTTAGTATTATGCCTAAGCGAATGGCTATTAGTAAAACAGACAGTTACACTTGGCTTCTTATGCATTTTTGGGCTCGTTTGGGTCAGATGTAACAATTATAAATAAATACAATCCACAACGAGAATCTGTTTCACGGGGGTATCATTATCATCAATCACAAGAACACATTA